CCCCAGGTCAGCTCGAGGCGCAGCCTGGAAAAAATTATGCCGTTTTTGGACCCCGGGGTTATTCGGGCCACGGGGCCCACCTCCAGTCCTTCCCGGGAGGAAACCGGAAAAGACGAAACCCGCGAGGTCGATCCGGGCAGGGATGCCCAGGCGATGGCGTCCTATACCTCCGCCACCTGTAGTCTCCAGGACTCCATGGAAGCCAACAAGACCTCGGGAAGCCTCAATTTATTCGATACCCTACACCTTAAAGACGAGCTCAAAAAAAACGAAAGCTCGGGTGCAATGGCATCCTCGGCGGCGAGCTCGCCTTTTTTGAGACCCCAAGGGGCTCCCTCTTTGGCGAGCTTCACGGTGTCGCCCTTCCATTGGAAGGGCCACCACGGAGGGAGCCGCAGTCATAAATCGCTCTCCTTCTCCCTCCGACAAAAAAAACCAACCGATCGGGTGCATGGGCGAGAGCTCGTGCATTCGAATTTATTTCTCCGAACCTCGACGCATTCGCGGGCGGGGGGTGCGCCTGACAAAGCCTCCAGCGCGGTCGAGGTGAGCAATCGCCGGGATCGTGGTAAGATGCTGACCGATCACGGATCCGCGACCTCGCTTCTGGACAATGGGATCCATCGATGTCGCCCCATCTTTAGCCTCCAACACGACGACAACGCGCTTCCCTCGCAGCTTTCGGGCTTCAAACTGGAGGACCCGGAGAACGCGGCGTTGATGGGCCTGGAGCCCCCTTCCTCCCCGCCCTCGTCTGGGGTTCCGCACTTAATTCACGGCACCCTTCTCGAGGCGGCGGTGGGATTGCCCGGATCGAACCCCATTCCTTATCACGCGATGTCGAGCGGCTTGCCAATCAACGCGCCGCTACCGCAAGGGGATTCCTTATACCCCTCGGTGAACTTCGCGGCGACCAAAGACAACGGCCGCACGAGCACCTTTTCCAGCCTCGATTTCTCCATGAAGCAGCGCAAGCGCTACCGGGCCCGAGAGGCCCGCATGCGCCACCGCCATACCGACATGAAAGACCCAACCTTCACCAATACGTTAAATTTCGTCAGCAAATCCTTCCTCCCGGGCCAAAAGCACGCGGTCGAGGCGGCCTTGTTCGATCACGACTCCAACGAGGAGGTGCGGGGGGATAGCAGTAGCGCCAAGTTCGAGGAGGAGGACTTTTACGATACCCTGGGGCTCAGTACGGACCGGGAGCGATCCGCCCTGCGAGGCGTCGGCATGTGGGCCACCCCGGAGCACGTTTTTATCCCTCGATATGAGCTGTTGATGGGGCTGGAGGAGAGTGCGCAGACGACCCTCCGACAGGACCACCTGCGCGACTGCGGGACGTTTTCCCCCTCCAATCCCATGGCCTCCCTGGCGAACGAATCGCCCTGTCCTTTCACCCCCACCCCTGCCAAAGGCGGGGGGTGGCTCAGCCCCTCCGCCACCGGGGAGCGACTTCCAAACAACCTCCAGCCCGGTGTAGGCGAAGGCGGGACGCCGATCGTGAAGTTGGCGCCGTTTCCATCCCAGGTTGAGGTGGACCGGACGGCCCCCCCCGCGCCGGCGAAAACCGCGTCTTGGACGCGAACCTCGAGCGGCGCGATGGGCCACCCCGCGGCGGCCTCCCCGATCCCCCACTCCCCGTTTTTCCGGCACCTGAGCGGAAGTATGGGCGGCCCCCCGAACGCGCTGCCCTCCAGCGGCTTTGACTTCGGCAGCGTCTCCGCGAACTACAACGTCGAGCCCGAGGAGGAGGACGCCGCGGTGGACTGCAAAGTCGCCGCCCGGCTCGTCTTCGACGCGGAGGACGGGGTCCGGCTGTTGGCCCCCTACAACGAGGTCGAGCGCTACGCCCGCGGGGGCAGCCCGCTTTACCCCCACCCCGACCCCTCGGATAGCGCGCGGGAGGACTATGATGGGGCCTGCGGCTGCGCGAAGGCCTTTATCACCAAAGACGCGTGCGGGATTAATTATAGCCGCTACCACGCGCACGAGCTGTTCGACCACTGCACCCTTTGCCGGCGGCGCCCGGCGGCCTTTCTCTGCCTGCACTGCCTCCAGGCCGTGTGCCCCTCGCACGCGCGGCGGCACTACGCGCAGCGCCCGACCCGGTGCACGCTTTTCATCAACGTGCTGGACATCATGACGAGTTTTGATCGCATTTTCTGGTGCGAGCGCTGTCGGTGCTTTACCTGGAAGTTCACCGAGGTCTACGACCCGCTGGTCGACCAAATCGCGCACACGCGCGGGACCTACTTGAACCGCGCCGTGCGCGACGTGCA